CCGCGTCCCCTCGGGCCCTTCTTGTCCCCGCCCGGCCGGGGCCGTGGGTGCGAGCAGCGCTGGCAGCGCCCCCCCGCCCCAGCCCTCCCCTGATCGGCCGCGTTTGGCAGGCGGGTTCCTCCGGCGGCCCTCGGTGAGGCGGCATGGGGAAGAGCTGCAAGGTGGTTGTGTGCGGCCAGGCCTCCGTCGGGAAAACGTCTATCCTGGAGCAGCTTCTGTACGGGAACCATGTGGTTGGTGAGTCGGGGGGGGGGGCGGGGACGACGACGACGGGGAAGGAACCTGGCAGGGGCCTGCCCGGCGGCTCCGCTGGGTGCCAGGCGGCCCTGTGCTGCAGGTGGACAAAGCCTGGCCCCGTTGGGCAAGGCTGTACCTGGAGAGCCCCTAAATACGCAGGCAGTGGGAGGAGGAAAGATTCGCTGTCCTGCCCCAGGCTACCCGGCAGGACAGTTCTCCCGGTTGTGCCAGGGTCCCCATGTCTCCCCTGCCCACCTCTCTGGCAGGATCCGAGATGATCGAGACCCAGGAGGACATTTACGTGGGCTCCATTGAGACAGACCGGGGGGTGCGCGAGCAGGTGCGCTTCTACGACACGCGGGGCCTGCGGGACGGCCTGGAGCTTCCCAAGCACTGCTTCTCCTGCACGGATGGCTACGTGCTGGTCTACAGCACTGACAGCAAGGAGTCCTTCAAGCGAGTGGAGCTCCTCAAGAAGGAGATTGACAAGTCCAAAGACAAAAAAGAGGCGAGTATCCTAGGGGAAAGGGGCTGCAGAGTGGAATCTGCTCCCCTTGTTCAAGTTCTCACCCAAAGATTCCTTTCCTCTACTTGTTACAAGGTGGCGACAGGGGCTCCTGTTCCATAAGACACTGTTCCATAAGACACTTTCTGAGTGTGCAAGTGCTCAACAGGCCCTTCCAACTTTGGGGCTGGTTTGACATACATGGATCTGAACAGGAGGGGAAGCTGCCAAAAGGGAGCGCTGGGAAATGTGTTTTAAAAAGCCTTAGCGTGGAGGGGGAATTAGCTGCAGGACTGGGCCTGGCACTGAGGGTCTTCAACGCAGAGCCAGGCTGCCCCATTCAGCTCTGTGTTTGGTACCTTCAGCGAGTCTTCTCACCCTTTTTTGAACAGGTCACCATCGTGGTTTTGGGCAACAAGTGTGACCTGCAGGAGCAGCGCCGGGTGGACCATGACGCAGCCCAGCACTGGGCCAAGGGCGAGAAGGTGAAGCTGTGGGAGGTGTCTGTGGCTGACCGGCATACGCTGATCGAGCCATTCATCTACCTGGCTAGTAAGATGACGCAGCCACAAAGCAAGTCTGCTTTTCCCTTGAGTCGCAAGAACAAGGGCAGCGGATCCATGGATGGCTGAGCCTTGTTTTCCCTTCCGTTGCCACCTCCTCTTCCTCACTTCCCTATTTCCCTTGCACATACCTCCTGCTGAGCCTGTTTGGTGTCGCGAAGCTTGCGGGAAGCACCGTGGCACAAGGAATGGGTGTCCCAGGGCTAGGGATGGTCTTTGAGAGCAAGAGAGGTGACCCATCTCCCTGCACTGGGACAGGGATGGCTCTTTTCACTGCCCAGCCCCTGCAGATGTTGGAGGTGCTACAGGAAAGCCAGGATTCGCTGAGTGATACTCCTCTGCTCTCTGGGCACAGGCTGGCAGACCCGAGGGCTGTAGGCTGCTAGAGGGGAGGCACAGCATGGGGCTGGCCAGCAGGTGGGGATCAGCTCCACGGCTGAGCACAGCCGGGCCAGAGGAAACAATTCCCCCTCTCTTGAGCTGCTCTGTTTTATATTTGCTGATACCATGTGAGATGAGCCCATTTGCTGGCCCTGCCTCCAGCCCAGCTGCTGTCAGAGCAGCTCTCCCTTGTCCTACCCCACCTGGGTCTGCAGTGCTGCAGTGTTCCCTGGCAGATTGCCCCTTACCTGGCAGTGCTTGCTGCACCTTTACCTGTAGAAATAGTCAGTCATCCTGCCCCAGTGAATGCATAGTGCAGAGGGCAGGGTGCCCACATTCACCACAATGCAGCCCTCGAGTGTGGACTCAGTCTTGACCTTGGAGAAGCTGGGACTGTGCTTAGCCTGCACACCCTGATGCTTAGGGCTGTGGCAGTTCTCGCTGCCCATCTGTCATGGTGCTGACTCTCCTCTCAAAACCACCACAAGACAAGGGAAAGGTGTCCCAGTCCTGCCCAGCAACACGTGTTCCCTTCAGCTAGTCTGGATCTAGGAGAGGAAAAAAAAAAAGAAAAAAAAAAAAAAGACGAGAAAGCCCTGCCTTGTTTATACTTGTTCCTTTTATTTACCGAGTAACACAATAAAGCCATGAGATTCAATTATCAAAATATTTTCCTTTTTTTTTTTTTTCCCCAACAGTTATAGTACATCAAAAAAATATACAATGAACATTACAGGAGGGGTACTGGCCAAGTCCCTAGAGTCTGTTTATTCCATTTTTGTGGGGTGGTTTGTTTTTTTGAATCAAACTGTTCACATCACTCCAAGGTTATTTACAGAGGGGCACACGTTATTGAGCGCTATGGACTATGCCCTACTACCTAGTACAGCATATGCTAAGTCAAAGGCAGTAAATGCTTTGGATAGCACAGGAGCAGGGAGGGTTTCTGGAGGCAGGGAATGCGATAGAGGGAGTTCTTACGCAGCTCGTTGCAGTATTATTGTTATTACAAGGAATGGCTTTCAAGGGGTTAAAGTGCCAAGTGTAGGAGTGTATTATTAGGACTCCACTGGTGGAGGGATGATGGGAGCAGCCACTGCTGGCTCCAGCACAGGTTTTTTTTAGAACAAAATGCAGGGGAACAACCCACCGGTGCCAGGTGGCTTCTGCAGGCTGGAGCACGGCCACAGCTGGCTGCTCCAGGCTCCCCACGCTCCTGAGGCTGGTGGGCACATTGCAGGAGGGGACACGCTGCCCTTCTCTGCTGTGGCCAGGGCTGGGAGTGACTGGCGAGGCGGCCCGGGGAAGAGCACAGTGAGATGAGCAAGGGGAGGGCTGGAGCCGGGCTGACCACGGACTGCTTGGCACTGTGACGCTGTCGGAGCTGTGTCCCTCCTGTCGCCTGCGGGCCCCAGCCAGCGCAGGCTCCTGTCCTGTGGGATGCGGGGTCCAGGCTGTACGTGTCCCCTAGGCTGTGGGACCATTTCCCTGTCGCTGACAAAGCCATTGCTGCTGGGAGCCTTCCTTCCCTTGGCTGCTCTCTGAGCCAGGTCTCCCACCACTGAAAGACCTTTCGGTTGTCTCTATGCCCAGCCTTCCATGCAAGCTCGCTCTTCTTCCGGTGCCTTCTCTCCACTTCCCTCCTTCCCAGGGCAGAGAGGTGCCCCAAGCAGATGAATCTGTACCCAGGGGCTCCCTCGCAATCCTGTCCTCTGCAGCAGGAGCGCAGCAGTGGCACCGCAGGTCAGCGCTGCCCACGGCATGACAAACAGGCCCTCCAGACGCAGGTGTACGGCTCCGTGCCGCCCTGCTCCCTCTGTGCAGGTTTCCTGCCCTCGCCCGAGGCTCCAGCTCTTTCCGCCAGCTCTGGGAAGCAGAAGCATTTGAGCCGCATGAGTTACCCGTTGGCCCGTTCCCATTCACCTCCCATTGCCAGGACCCTGTCCTGAGCATCAGTGGAACGCGCTGGGCAAAATCCTCCTGAAATCCAGGCGTTGCTTCTGGCCAAGATGTCGGATATGTGTGCTTGTGCGTGTGGATTCCCAGGTGCATAAACCGACCTGCCTCTTCCCAAGGGCCGGGAGGGAAGCACGCCACAGCAGAGGTCTCTGAGCCAGCACCCTGGGCCACGGGACAGGAAGGGAATTGTCTGCACAGAGCTAAGTGTTGTGTTGTTTTTTTCTGCTCTGACCACCGCTCCTGGCTTGAGCATGAGCACCAAAGTAAAACGCAGCCAGCAAATGCGGCGGGCAAGCTGCTCCCCCTGGATTGCATAGATCGGGGTGGGTTGTCACTCCAGCGTAAGGTCCATTTGGGTTGCAACTTTCCTGCATATTTCTATTTACAGCAGCGCGCTGGGAACCCGAAGCGCCGTGATTACAGTTTTCAGACCAGGTCATCGCTGGGCTTTCTGAGCACAGTGAAAAGCAGAGCTACGATTTCAGGGTCCGTCCGGGGCCCAGCTTTCTGCAGGCTACGACAGGAGCGTCACATGGGGAGCGCCGAGTGTAGGCTGTGGGTGCTGCCTGCTCCTTCATACCTGATTGTCCGGGCTGCTGGGGACACCTTTGTTTTTGGGAATCATCGGTAACTCCCTGGAAGCTCCTAACAGGGATGGGGTTGGAGGGCCGGGCATGGCAGCTGGCCGACGGCTGAGCAGCTTCATTGCCTTTCACTGAAGAACCGAAAGTGCTTTAGGGACATTCACTTAGCCTCACAGCATCTCCCGGGAGGTAGGGGCAGGGCTGTCCCCTGCGGGTGGGACAGAGGCAAACAGCTGGCACCGAGCACAGGGTCACCTCCTCGGAGAGCCCGCACCGGGTGGCCTGGCTCTCCCATCCTCGCTGGGCTGCAGCGGAGCCCGTCCCTGGCCGCATGCCCAAGTTGTGTGCTTCTCGGGGGCCAGGGCAGGGGCAGTGTGCTTTTGGAGGGAGGAGGCGCCGGCCCTGGGCTTCAGCTATTGCTCTTGGAGTGAAGATACGGTCAGTGTGGCCGGTGCCCGCCACCACGGGGGCTCTTTGGCTGGTGGGACATAAGGGGTTGTGGGGCGTAGGGGGCTGGTGGGCAGCAAGGAAACACCCGGCCAGCACAGGCAAGTGCAGGGCTGGTGAGGGCACAGCCAGCCCGGTCTGAGAGGGGAACTGCCAACTTTCCGCTTGTTCTGGGGTCGTTTCTCCCAGTAAGAGCTGGGCTGAGATTCCCCTCGCAGTTCCCTTCCCACTGGGCTGGCAGGGACCAGCCAGCTAGAGGGATGCTCCTTCCCCCAGGGACCAGCCAGCTCCTCTTCTTCCAGTCTGTTAACTGGGAGGGTGACTCGGGCACCGTCCTCTCCTGTGTGCCGCCCAGCTGTGTGATGGGCTCCTCTGCTGAGCACGGGGCCGGCACGGGCAGGGAGAGTGGCAGGGATGCACGGCGGGGCTGGCTGGGCTGTGCCCCAGCAGGAGCCCACTCAAAGCAAAGGAGAAGCCAGGGTTGATGTCTATGACTATGGTTTCCCACCAGCTAGAAGAGCAGCCTGCCCGGGAGCGCCGCCCCACGCCGTGCAGCCCCCACGGCACAGCCCAGTCTGCAGCAGACGGACCCTCGGCGGGCAAGCGGCTCTAGTAGGGCGCGAAGACGATGGGGCCCGGCGTGGTGCGGACGTGGGCCGGTGGCGTTCGGAAAAGGGCTGGTCCGAGGATCGGGGCTTGGAAGAGGGTGGTGGCAGCGGCTGGTCTCAGGGCGAGGGGGCCAGGCATGGCGCAGACGGCGGCCGCGGTGAGCGGGCTCGGCAGGAAGCGGGTCGCCAGGGTTTTGGTGAGATGCTTCTGCAAAGCCAGCTTGGACTGCGGGGAGGGAGGAGGAGACACGGTGAGGCAGCCGGCTGCAGGAGAGCCCCCAGCCTCAGCTCCCCAGGCCAGACAGACAGCCCCGCGTCAGCCCCTGCCCACACTGACTTTCAGCTGAGCTCTCGGCACGTCTCTGCGGTAAACACGGCCCCCGACCCGACACACTCCATCCCACAGCCCGGCTCCCTCAGCTTCGCCGCTCCTGGGTCAGAGCACGCAAGGATGCCCCGGTCATTACAACCTCCCCAGGGAGGTCCTCGGCCCCATCACACCAGCCCAGAGACCTGCCGTGTCTGGGCTGTTCCCTGCATCCATGCTTTCCTCTGGTGCCCTGGGATGGCTTTTGCTGCCAAACTCTGTGCTAAGCTATATGTCTCTGCAAGCAAACGCTTAGGCTTCGTTTAACTGAGCCATGCCAGCCCCAAGCACCCAACCATCACAGCTCTCCCCTTCAGAAATTGTGAAACCGGTGGAAGAATGACAAGTGCTGCAGTTGTGAATGCTGCTGCCAGAGGACTCACAAGTTATTCCCGTGCTTTCCTTCTCAGGAAAAAAGACTCGAAACTCCTCTCACCGCTACAGCCCACCCTCCCCAAGGGGAGCAGCTTAGATGTGATCATGGGAACCGAAGCTTTAAGAAAAGCAGCTCCTGTGTCTCTTACTGCAAGAGATGGCTAACATGGCAAACAACATTTCGGAGAGCAAACCGGGTGGGTAATTTGCAGGGAGACAGATACCTTGAGAATACTCACTGCGAGGGCAGCGTTCTTCTGCAGCTTGTTATAGGGGCTGTACTTGGGCTTGGGCGGCTTCCCCGCCAGCCTGTCTTTGTGCCTCCGGCTGCTCATGTGCTGCAAGAGGAAAACAGCTGGATCACCCGGAGCCAGGACAGCGAGGGCAGACCCACGGCACCGTGTGGCTCGGGTCCATGGGGGATGCCCATCAGCTTCTCGGAGGGGACCATCAGGTACCCACCCCCCGAGCCCCTGGTGCCTGTGCAGAGGGGTCTGCACGCCCGTGCCCGGTGCCCCTGCGTTCCCAGGGGAAAGGCACACGCCAGGCCTGGCATCGTCACCTGTTTGAGCTGGGTCTCCGAGTTCACGTAGATCTCGCACACTTGGCAGTGAAACGCCTTGTTCTGGATGTTGATGCTCCCCTTGTTGCCGATCCGCTTGGATTTGTGCCCTGCCCGGGAGAGGAGCTTGCCTCGGCCTCGCCGGATCTGGGTGCTGTGACCTTCCAGCATTGACTTGTGCTTGGCGCCTGCGTGGCAGAGAGGACACTCGGCAAACACTGACTTTGCAAACAAACCCTGTGCCTTGCCGCGGCAGCAGGAAGGAGACCCTCCAAGCAACCCACCCAACAGCGCTGTGCATCCCCCCTCCCGGGGACCCCGGTCCCCCCACCAACCTGTGCCCGGCAGCACTTGGAGGCAGAGGGGACAGGGAGGTGCCTGGGAGTCCGGACTTTTGCCGGGGATGTGGCAGCCTGTTCCCAAACCCTGCCAAGCTCTCGGGGCCAGCTGCGCTTCGCAGGCAGACCAGAAATGCTCGGCTTCCCAGAGACCCCCTGCTCTCTCCATGTGCCAGACCTTCGGAGAAACTGCTATTTTAAGCGTGTGCTGGAGCCTGTCGCCTGTCCCCAGGCGTTAGCACAGTCCGCAGAGCCGGGCACGCGTCACCCGCCGTGCTGCAGCATCTGAGCCGTGCCCAAGGTCAGAGAGGATCCGGCCACAGAGCCAGGAATAGCTCAGCAGGGTTACAGGAGGCAGGGAAGGAGGAACCCGAAATCCCCGCACACCTGGGGACAGGGCGCTCGGTCCTGCCCCTGCGGGCACAGCACGGTGGGGGTGGGCAAGTAATTTAAGTCACCGCTAATTCATTCTATTTTTTAAGGCGTTAAGCAAGGAGCCTGAGTCCGTGTGACAGCCATGGAGGAGCGCAAGCCTGCAAACATTTTGTTTGTTTGTTTGTTTGTTTGTTCTTTTTCCCCAAATCAGCTCCTAAATTTGTAACCGGAGCTGACAAAAGCAAAAGGACACATTTGCAGCTAAGCCGCAGCAGTGTCCTGAGCTGACCCCTGTGCATGGCTGCTGCTGCTGCCTCCGCAGGTGCCTGGGGAACTGGTTCCCAGTTCTTGCTGAACTGGGGGAGAGAAGGCCCTTCTCTTTAAAACCGGGGTGCCCATCCTTGTTTAGCATCCTCCAGAGAAAGGGGCGAGCTGGGAGCTGGTGCTGGAAGGGGGGTGTAAAGGTCCAGGGGGGGTCTGGCCACCCCCTCCTCCCCTCCAGCCACCCCCACGCTGCAGGGGGACCCTCGCCAGCCCCAGATGCCTGCCTGCCCCGCGGGGGCTGCCGGGCGCAGCCGATGGATGAGCCAGCGCTTGCTGCTGGGCCCCGAAGCTCAGATTCCCAAGGGGCTTCTCAAAATGACCACGAGCCCAAACCACCAAGCTGCTTTTGGGAGGATTATCCTGGGTCTGAAAGAGGCACTGGCACTCAGGTTGCTATCAGCTTAAAGCCAAACTGCAACGGAATATAAAGTAGCCTCCAATCACTTGATTAAATGTATCTGAAAGCGTCTTTAATTAAGAGACATGAACAATAAGAGAGCATTTGACCTTGCTAAAATTCACTCCATAAGCTGCAGCACAGGTAAAACACCACCACTTATCTTTGCAAGCCACCTTACTTAACCCTTTTTAATTAACGCAACATTCATTAACGCTCGCCGTTTCCCTGCAAGGCTGTTCGGTGATGGGGCATGGCAGGACTTTGCACGGAGCCCAGGATGGAGCTGCGAGGGGCCCGTTCCCCCGAACCCCGCGCAGGCGATGCCCTTACCGGTGTTGTGAGCCTCCAGCTGGGACAGGGAGTTGACGGTCACTTTGCAGGTGGGACAGTACAGGTGCTGTTTGCTCTTCTTCCCCTCCTTCTCGCTCTCGGGAGCCGCCGAGCTGACGCTGCTGCCCGACTCCGCTGCCTGCGCCTCGGCTGCCTGCACCTCGGCTGCCTGCGCGGCCGAGGAGGCCACGCTGGTGACGTCCGAGGTGCCCTCCGACAGCTCCGAGGCCGGCGGGGAGCCCAGTGGGGCGACGCTGCCCGACAGTTCCGTGGGCGATTCCTCGGCGCCGGGCATCAGCCCCAGGCTGCTGCACTCACCCTCCGGCTCCTGCAGGCCGTTGGCTTCAGCTGGCGGGAGGGAAAGGAAAGGGGGAAAGGGGGAAAGGGGGAAAAAAGAAGAAACGGGCAGAAAGGGAAAGTTCTCTGTGCTTGAATGGGTTTCCTGGATTTCAGAGAGCACCCCCGTCCTCCCCAAGACTATCTCAGGCACTGTCTGCTCCTGCTCATCCCTGTCGAGAATGGCTTTTCCCAAGGTCTCGCCCGTTGCCGCTTTTATCTGTGGCTTGTGGCAGCTGGGCTCAGCACAAAAGCCCGGGTGAGCTCCAGCGCTGCCTTGGCTCGGAGCGGGGAACTGGCTCCTACCAGCCCCATCCCATCCCTGCACGGTGGCAGAGACCTGGGGATGTGCGAGCCCTCATCAGGGCAGGGGCAGGGATTGCTTCCTCTCCTGCAGCCGTGCAAAACATCTCCCAAAGACAGCGAATCACAGGGAAAACACGCGCCACTTCCCCCATGCAACTGCAGGGACGCAGGGGGGCCAGGTTCCCCCAGGGACATGAGCTGCCCAGGCCCCCAGGCTGGATTTCCATCCCTTCCCGGCGATGCTGCCCCCAGCCAGGCACGCCAGGGATGCCAGCTGAGCACAAAAGCGAATTTATCAGCATTTGTGGCAGCATTTATGCCACACTAGTCGCAGCCCTCCTCAGCCTGACCGTGGCGGGATGCTCAGACGCGAGGCTGCTGCGGTTCAGGATTTAACCCGGCTCTTCAGGATGCTGCAGCCACGGCAGAGCTGTGAACACGAACGCCGCTGCGCTGCCGGGAACCGGCCAGGTCGCTCGCTCCGCTGTCACGGGCTGCTGGCGCGGGACCCTCCCGCACCCCCTGCCCACGTACCTGTGCTGCTGGGCTCCCCGCTGCCCTCGGGGCTGGGGGCAAAGTCGGCTGTGCTGTCCCGGCCGGCGGCCACCGCCGCAGCCCCCGCCGCCTTCTGCTTGTTCTTCATGGCCTCAATGGCTTTCAGCCTCCGTGCGTGCTTGTGGCCCTTGTAGTGGGCTTCTGCCTGGTTCTGGGGAGGGAGAGACGGGGACGGCCACGTCGGTGCTGCGGCCGGACAGACGGCCGGACACAGGGAGGATAGGTGAAGGGGTCAGCCCCAGGCCGCGGCTGCTCGGACACGTTTCCAGTGCAGCCACCTCCCCTGATGACATTCATCCCCAGGGCCACCTTGGAGGTGGTATTTTTGGCTGGGCGTAGCGCAAAGCTGCTTTCCTCCTCCCGCCAGATTGCTCTGCACACAAATGTATTCAGGCTGAGGTATCACTTTGCTAAGACATCACCGCATTGCACAGCCGAGATAAGGACCCTGCTCTGATTAAATGCACCAAGTCACTTTTAAAAGAAGCTTTCAGGCAAAATTTATGACTTCAGAAATGTACAATGAATTGCTAGCTGTAAAAATAAAATAAAAAAGTACATTGGTGGGGAGGACGTGTCTCCCATTGTAACCTAACGGGTGTCTAACATGCAATTTACATTCACGGGCTCCTTTCTCCCAGCAAACGCTGAATAATGAAGTGCACGTTGATGGGTTCATGCCTGCACCGAACTGATAAAAACATACATAAAAGAAAATCACCCGAACATTTGTGTACTCCGCAGTCGGGGACAATGCCACATTGTCCCCAAAAACAACTACAGTTTAGCAATTTATGGAAAGTAAAGCCAATATGAATTAAGACACTGTACCACTGAGCAGCACGGATTAATTTGCACAGCGTTCTCAGAGGCCGGCTGAGGCTTCCCGTGCTCGGTATGAAGAAGCATCCCTTCCCTCCCCCCGCGGCTCTCCAAAGGCTGGGAACGGCGTCCGGGGCTGTGCAGCGACGGCCGGGTACGTGGGAAAGCGAAAGGCCCATTCGAGCGCGGGGGGCCTCATTAGCAAATACAATAAACTTCCACCAGATAACGGGGTTGGGACGGGGCTGGGCTGCAGCCTAAGTAGGTCACCCAGCACGGCTGCCGCTCTGCGCAGAAATAGAAGTGGCGTGCGAGGGTCTGCGCCAGTACGCGCTCGCCCGCAGACGTGACCTTGGGGGGGACACGGGCAGGGACGGGCAGAGTGGCACGGGGTACCCGCGACGGCAGCAGGAGCGCCTGGTGGGACCGACTCTCCCGGCACCGTGCTTCCAGCCAGGATGCAGCTTGGAACGGGAAAGCAATGCTTTTCCCCGAGACGCTTGGTTGCAGAGCGGCATAATTAAGCCCAGAAACGCTGACTTTTGCTGGCAGAGCAGCACCCAGCCCCGGGCTCTGCTGATGCAGCTCGGAGCCAGCCTGGCCAGGGTGCAGTGTCTGGGTGGGTGCAGATGCCCCAGGGGAGCAGAGAGCAGCTCCCGGCAGCCCGCGCCGCCAGACACCGAGGGCACAGGCAGCTCCGGCAGATGAGACTCCGCTTGCGGCTGTCCTCCCGTGGGTACAGGGGCTCAGCACCGCCTCGCTCCCCCCAGGAAGGGACGGCCGAGGCCAGGGGATGCTCCCAGGCTCTAGCAGAGCTCTATAGGTAACACGTGTGCCCCGGCTGGGCTGAGCGCAGGAGGCTCCTGTCTCCACCTCTGCCCTGCGCCCCACGCAGCAGTGGCACGGAGGAGCGGACGGAGCTGCGCCGGCGTGAGCGGGGCCAGCCCAGGCGACGGGCTCCGAGCTACTGCCCGTGCGGAGGAGGCTCTTGCTGCTCCACTCCCAGCCCCGCTGCCTGCAAACCCCCATCCCTCTCCTGCTGGCTTGGAGCGAGAATTCCCTTTCCAACCCTTTTTATTCGTTTTCCCCACAAAAGATCAGCTGTGTGCAATTCGTTACCACAGGAATCAATGAATGTTTCCTTCCTACCCTCTGCAAGGTGGTTGATTTACTTAGAATAAAAGGCTGGGGAAAAAAACCTGACCTGCCACACCAGAGCTCTGGGAAGCCAAGGAAGGGAAGATTATATTCAGCTCCCAAGGACCAGATACGAATTGCACGGGCTGATAAAGCAGCTCAAGTGCAAACACCGTGACCAAGGCAGCAGACCCGAACAAAAAGACAAGGAGCAGAAAGAGCCAGCGTGGCAAAGAGGACGCAGCAGACCCAGGAGCGCCTGGGCCCACAGGCAGGGAGATGTCGGTGGAAACGTCAGCCGGGGCAGCTGCAGAGCGAGGGAGGGCAGAGCTCCAAGGAGCCACCGCCTGTGCGATGGGCGTCCGCGCGGTGCCCCTGTCGTGGGATGCTCCTTCCCCGCCGCCGGCACCGGCCCCGTGCGCCCCGCTCGCCCGCCCAGCCCCGCGCGCTCGCCGGCCCCGCTTACCGCAGAGTTGAAGCGCAGGTGGCAGATGTTGCAGGAGATGAACTGCTTCTTCTTGAGCGGGGCGGGCACGCCGAAAGTGTGGCTGATCACCGCCTTCTGCACCGGGTCCATCTGGAAGGGGAGGGAAGGCAGAAGGCGGCTGGGTGCCACGCCGCAACGGCCGCCCCGGCACGGCACCGCGAGCCGGTGATCCCCTGCACCCGCCACGCTCGCCGTGGAGCCGCTGCCAACGCCGGCAGAGCTCGTGCCCGGTGTCGGGAAGGAGCGAGAGGCCGGGGCGGCAGAGAAGCCCCATCTGCCATGGAGGCATCCCCCGCACAGGGCAACGCGTGCTGCGTCGACGCCCGTTCTTGTCCTTTTTAAACCATCCCTGAAAAATCCAAACCTGCAGGGTCCAAACGCCTGCCGTGCTCTGGCAGAGGGGACGAAGCTGCTGCAGGGGCACAGACTGCGGACCCCGTCCTCCCCGTCCCTGACGTGCTCCCCTGTGCGTCCCCCCTGTTCCCTCTCCCCCCACCACAGACACCGGTGTCACGGGTAGCAAATTATCGGTTT